ATAGCGTAACACAAACTCACTGCCTTTAGTGCACATGGACTGATCATCTTTCATGTTGTGCACAGTCAAGAAAACCCTGAATCTAAGATAGTTATTTTACATTCAGTTCACCAGCATGGTTGTTATAATCTGCAGAGGCTTCACAGTAACCATGCTTTTAACATGGAACTGAGATTTGTCCAAAATATAATAAGAAATAAGACGTATTGTTGAAATAAGTTGTTGCCAGGCGTGTTTGTTTGACTGAGCTGCCTGTTTCCTTCGCTCTGTACTGAACACACCCACAACGTTGGCATCAATCTTTAAAAAAAAAGGAAATAAATATTCTTTGAAAGTGTTGCGTTTCAGTCTCACCTTTAAACCACGCTCCTGGCTTGAACAGGGCCTTCTTTAGGGCGCTGTAGAGATGAAAGTTGAGTCGCTTGTACTCTGCGATATCGTCCCGTACTCGAGGCAGCAGCACCAAGTTGTAAAACCGCTGGGCCATTCGCTCTTTCAGATTGGAGGAGAAGATTCTGTACGGAAAAAACATTTACTTGTAACATGTTGTGGGGTCTGCAGTAAATTATGACAATTCTGCCCACGCATGATCATCAATCCAACTCAGTCAGCTGGGAAATCACCTCGTTGCTTGGTACATGGCAGCTGCAGTCCAGGTCTCAGGCTCAGTCAAATACAAAACCTGCTCCCAGTTTGCGAGCGCCGGTATGATTTTAAAAGCCTTTGGTAGTTTACCGCTGCGATATTTTGACAGAACCTGCAGCATAAGAAGAGAAATGACAAGTCAGCCACTGAAACATGGACACCTTCTGCAGCCAGCTACATGGTGGATTAAATAAAGAGAAAAAAAACATCATTAAATATGGTTTTGGTCACTAAGAGCAACTACAAGAACTTCTACTAGCCTCTGCAAACAAGTCAACATAACTCTTCCAGAATATACTTCCTAATGTGGTGTATTTACGAGGGTGGTGTCTGACATGTTGCTCCCATTAAGTAATGAGCTGGGTTGATATCTGCCGTTTGTGGAGTCGACAGCAAATTATTCAAGTGATTTTGATGCTAATTCATCCATTCAGCGACTTCTTGTGACAAATATCAGCATTACTTTTGCTTCCCTATCCATTATTTCCATGTTTTCCTTTTTATTTTTATACCCATATGTCATTGTGTTTTATGTTCACTGTCTGATCTTTACATTTCCAGACCGCTCACCTTATTGACACCTCGGTACACTTCTATGACTCTCGGATCCAGCTGTGGCATCGGATGCCCCGATACCTCTGACAACACCGTTCCTACTTCAGTCTGCTTCTCTGTGATCTTCTCCATGATAATGTCAGCTAAGGTTCGTCTACGAGAACCAAAAACAGAAAACACAGCTAGATATGTAAAAAAAAAAAAAAGAAAAAAAGAAAAAGAAATTGACTTCCTAGTGAATGCAATTTAAGATCATCTCCCACAGCTAGGGCAAAAATGTAGTTACCTCACTGGTGGGTTTTTGTTCATAAACATCTCAATGGCCTTCTCATCGTCAGGGTCGACGGTAATTTCGGTGTCGCACTCAACATCGTCGTCAGCAGCACCTGCTTGTCCCAGCGCCGGCCACTCATCGTCTGAGTCGGCATCCTGAGACTCAGGCCCTAAAGTTTGATTACAAGACAAACAAGGTCCATTAGACAATCACAATGAACTGTTTAGGATGTAGACTGCACAGTTATGTGATGTTTCTGGATTAGGTCAATCATCTGAAATGCCTGAAAGGTCCCATATTGTTTCCCTTGTTAGTAAATTAACTAAGATCTCACATATCCCAAGAACGTGTCTTTTAATTATTCACTGCAAATGACTGCATAACCCCTGGTTTTAGTCCTGTTCAAAACTAGCCTCCCTTAGCCAGCCCATTCTGAAGTACATGTTTCTCTGGCTGTGACTTCGGCTTGTTTATTTTTCTGTAAACCAGTAGCGATGGGTGGAATTGTTGTAGAGGAACATTTGCATGCAGGGAGATGAGCAACGTCATTAAAACAGATAGTCCAACGAAAAAGAAAAAAAAAACAACCTAGAACTTGCCGCACCATCAACATCCTCTGCAATTTAAAAAAATATATATATCAGTGTGGTAGGTTAACTGCCAAGAGGTGGTTGTTAATACTGTCCAGAGTGAAGTGGATTTTGAAAATGACAACAGGCGGATAGCAGAGGGAGAGGAGAAAGGAGCAGCCAGTGGCAGGCTTGTAGCTGTAGCCTGCATCTGGTTCATCAGACCAGTTCTAAACAGGCTATTTCAGTGTCTGTAGCTTTAAACGCAGCCGAGATGCTGGAAGTGCATGAGGACTCTTGTGTACACTTTAGCAGCCAACAGCAGAACATCTGATGTGCCTTCCCCATGGTGAAGACTTTTCAGAGTTAGTAATAGTAGCTCATGTTTTTCAGACATACAAAACACAGAGAAATAAATCTCCCCCTTATGGGAGCTTTGTTTAACAGCCTAAACATGTACACTTCAATAGGTTTTTGTTTCAACAACTGTCCTTAGAACAAATATTCCTCATTTACTTTTATTCGGTTTAATAAAATCTAGTTTTATCCATTTTTACTGAAACTCCTCGGATTACCAAGACCAGGATGACAGAGAATCTACACACACAAACTCTAGTTTCGCTCACCAATTGTAACCATCAATAACTGAGCTTATACAGAGTTAAGAGCGGAGTCTGATGAGGCTACTCCTGCTACACCAGACTCTATTCAAATATCTGTCAATTTAAGGATGTTTGTGTCCAACATAAACCCTCAGCATTACCCAGAACAGTGACCGGGGCTTTCTTCTTCTCCGGTGCCAGCCCATATTCCGTCTGCAGCTCCTCTTGTTGAATTCGGGCCTGTTGTAAGATTTTACGGGACAGACGTTCGTCCACGTACGTGTCCTCGTTTTCTGCCCGGCTGTCTCTGCTCTTCATCCGGCCTCTGGCTCGGACCGTGTCCGCCTGTAAGATCTGGTCTGCCAGCGCCACCGCTCCTCCGCCGCCGCTCTTCTCTCCTCCTCCTCCGCCTTTAGACCGTTTTACTTTGGGCATTGCGGCAGTTTGACGGACGCTGTGACTGTGAAGTGCTGTTTTTTTGTTGGCATGTAAAGTCCAAACTTTAAAGCCACCGTAAACAGTCACGGCTTCAACACGTGCAGCTGTCCGGCGCACAGGAAGTGACGAAAAACGCGTCACGGAACGTCTAATTTTCTTTAATTTAAAAAACAGGATTTTTTGTTTTATTTTTATGATGCTGTTCATAGGGGCGTTTATATGAATATCTCGTATTAATAATTGTGAAAAATATCTCTTGACAGTTTTCATTTTCCTACATGTTCATTTATGAACCGGAAGTAGTTTAACACAAAGCTGCACCGTAAGTGGAGGCAAAACATCAATGGGAGTCACTTGGTAAGATGGTTACCTATAAATTTAGCTGTATATGTTTATTTTAAACATTTTTTTAAAACCCTAATTCCTTTATTTCCTTGTAGTGTCGCCCAGCCGCTGTACGTGTTGTTGTTTTATTCACACGCTGCTCTGCTACTGAGGCAGCAGCGCTCATAACGTTGTATGACCACCAGAAGCAGATGATTTTTGGCTTCTATCTGATTTATTTCTTCTGTCTTTCTGTGTCCTGCAGCGTGTGCCAGGTGCCTGTGGCGGAGGGGAAGAGTGTGCAGCAGACGGTGGACCTCCTGCACAAGAAGCTGGAGCAGCTGGGTGCTGTGAAGCAGGGCAGCTTCTGTGTGGACTGTGAGACGTACCATGCCACAGGAAATGTCAGCGGTAATATTCAATTACCTACTTTTCCTTTAAGCGCCGTAATTGACTTACTCATTCTACCAGATTGTCTGAGAACATTGGGAGAGAATGGATCGTTTGCATAATCATTGTCGCGGTACCATCACTCTCACCCTCATTATCAGTGTGTGAATTCCACCCTGGCTTTCAGAGGACCTCACTTTAACCCTTTTCTTACAGGGACTACATATTACTGTCTCCATCAGTCTTTAAAAGTGGCTTTGTTGTGTCGTTCAGTCATAGATCGCCTTTATGTCAGTGTACATCATGGCTTCGTTGAAACACACCCACCGTAGTAAACAGAACACTGTGGTGCAGGATTTCTCATTCCATCTCATATCATTACATTTTTAGAACAATTTCCACTTTCCAATTGTCTAGCATAATATGGGGATACTTATAACAATTTTAGTTAAATGGTAGCTTCAAATACCTTCCAAGATAGGATTTATTTTTATTTTGTTTAAATTTCACCCAGTTTGAAACACCTAAACTCTGATATACTTGGATTAGCCATGCTAGGTTAGGAAAATATCACAATTCGACTTCTGCATTAGCATTGTTTTGGTAATGTGTGCCCTAAGGTGGCGCTCACCCTGCCCAACGTGCATCACAGGTCCACCAGTGTGTTATAATCACCTGATTCCCCGTCGTGTTCAGGAGCTGTGTGTCGTATTTACATCACAATCTCAGACAGTCTCTGGTCTGCTCGTCTTGTATTCTGAACACGGTGGTCTTGCACAGTGTCTTCTGAGAACAGGGAAATGAAGCTGCTCACAAAGAAAAACCTTATCAAAGCTGTCTTGGGCTGGATGTTTCTTATATATTATAAATTTGAACCTTCTGATTATTTGCCATCGTTATTTTGAGCTTCTATAATTAAATATTTCCACATGCATATTAAACATAGGTAAGCACATTGTTCAGATGGCCTAAATGCTTAAACATCCATCATCTATCCACCGCTTAATCCTCACTAGGGTCATGGGGGGCTGGAGCCTATCCCAGCTGACTCAGGGTGAAGGCAGGTTCACCTGGACAGGTAACCAGTCTATCACAGGGCTACACTTAGAGACAGACAACCAAGCACACTCACATTCACACCTACGGACAATTTACAATCACCAATTAACCTCAACATGTTTCTGGACTGTGGGAGGAAGCCGGAGAACCCGGAGAGAACCCACGCTGCACGGGGAGAACATGGAGACTCCTCACAGAAAGATCCCAGGGCGTCCTAACTGGGGATCTTCTAGCTGCGAGGCGACGGTGGTAACCACCGCTCCACTGTGCAGCCCCCGACGAAACCAAGTGATGTATAATAGAATAGAGCAACAACAAAAAAAATGCATATAATAATAATAATGCATACTAATAAACAAAAGAATAATCTAATACCCAGCTTAGTAACTTCTCAGAATAACTAATAGTCTAGTTTATTTATAATTTCCCTAAACAGTGAAAACTCTGTCCCTGTGTGATGATAGTCTAACTACAACTGTACCATCAGTAAAATAAAAATATCCCAACAGCCGTGATGAAGCTCAACCTGACGACAGTCGCTATGTGACATGTGGCTGGACTGTAGCTGATACACCGTGACTCCGTGTGACAGCTCATCTGGTGAAGTAAAGCACTCACTGTATCATTAATCTGAGCCGTTAGTCTCTGTTGTCACCACAGTGAAGGTTTATTTTTATGGACATTTTAGTTTGTAACAGAATTGCCACCACGTCTGTTGTGGAAATCTAAGCAGGATGGTCATTCAGACATGAAGCCAACATGTTCAGTTGCCGTCAGATTAACAGAAAGGACTGAATGTCTGGGGCTTTCTCCAGCTTTCCATGGTCAGAATGGACAGATACAACATTGTTAAACTCTTTATCAGGCTTTTATTTATAATTATTCTAATAGCAGCCTAAATATATAAATAAGAAACCGGATTCCAGAGTGTGTCTGCACCACCGAGGAATGAAGAGCAGTGAGAGGAGAAAGACTCTGTGTGTTTCAGTAATAAGTGAACAGTACGCTGAGTGAAGTTCAGCGCTGATGGCAAGACCATCATGCCGGCTGGTGTTCTGCCAGATCTGATCGTCTGCCAAAAACTGATCTGTGGCAGCCATGCATATCCTTATGGGTTTGCCTTATTTCACCTGCCCTCTGTCCCAGATTATAACCAGTCCAGTTGTTTTTAACAGGTTGAAATAGCCTGAAAGAACCAGCTCAACTCATTTAATGCAGTTTATTTTTTTTACTATAATGTTAATAATGCATCAAGATGACTTGATTTAAGTCATGAGGGTTCTTTCTAAAGATTATAACCCACAGAAACAATTCAGAACAGATGATTTATGTTTTATATATTAAAAAAAACATCCATAAATTCTGTTAAAGTCTAAACAAAGATGTCAGACACACTTAACACATACGGCCTAAGCGTTAGAAACTGTAATTATCCTAAATGTCGTGCCTGATTATGCAATAAACTGCAAACAGTTTCACAATTACAGTTCTTTGGCTATGAGAAATGTAATATACAATTATGTGTATTTGCATGCTATGCCTGTTTGATGCAGACAGAAGCAGCTGCAGATGTATTTCAGCTGAGCGATGCAGCTTTAACATGAGGGGCACAATCTGTTTCTGGTACAACAGTGGCATCTTTATTCAAGTGAATGACTCATTCTCATGCATCATACACCAATAATAACCAAATTTTCTGCATGGAGAATAAATAGCACGGTGTCGGCGCTTGCCAGGGAGGCTCAGCTGGTTTAAAATCAGAGGGGTTTGTAGGCCGGGGAAACGCTTGGGCTCTTGGTCGTGTTCCTCGAGCTTTTCCTGAGCACGTTTTGCAGCGTGATAGGATGCAGAACTGGTCACAGATGAAGAAACACAGGAAAATGTATAAAGATGAATATTTTCATACCGTTGGCTGTGTTTCTGTGCAGCTAATTATTTCCCTTTTAGTTTTTTTTTTTCTCTTGCACTTTGACGGATGTTGTTTATATTTATGAATATCTGCAGAACGGTCGTGGCATTCATGCCGCCAAGACTACAGTTTTCCATCAGACCATTACTCCAAACGTTGGGCAGTCAACATTTCAGTTATACAGCCTGTTGTTTTTTTTGTGTGTTATGTATATACCCATCAGATTCTTGGAGAAAACATCTCCTCTGATAAACGTACCATTTTCTAAAGTTAGTTTACTTCCTATTTACATATTTATTTAACCTATGAATCTATTTTACGATGCACATTGTGTGGGCTCTTGGTCGTATTCCTCGAGCTTTCCTCGAGCACTTTTTGCAGCGTGATGGGATGCAGTCCTGCTGGGGGAGGCTGTTGCCAGGAGGGCTGGTTTCGGTCTGCAACGCTGTTTGGGCGGGTTATGCTTCTCAAAGTAACAGCACATGAATGCCAGAGGCTGAGGTGGTTTTAATGTTGTGGCTCATTGGTCCAGCTCCAAAAACTCAGACTCCATTTCTTGTAATGCAGCTCAGTAGTGGTATTCTTTAGACAGTTCGTAATGCAGACTTTCTCTTTATTAAATTTCAACTGCAATCTGAAATGATTCTGATGCTACAGTTTATTTCCTCCTGTGAAAGCCCCATTCAGAGCCACGGAAAATGTTTAATTCTCCTGTTAAAAATAGAATCACCACCAGGTATCATAACCAGGACTGCTCAGACTAAGCACATTTACTTTAAATAGTGTTTCCATTTAATGTTGCGTTCATTCTACTTAACTTTGGAGGAAATCGTTGTCGTTTCTCTTCCACTACATTTATTTGAGAGCTTTACTTACTTTTAGGATGAAGCTTTTACACTGTGGATAACATGACAAACTTTTAAAACACAACACTTAGTTAAAGATTAAACCAGTGGCTTCTAGCTTTTTAAATTTCTTACAAAAAGCGGTGTGTGTGTTCGAGGTCACATTTGAGACGTCTCAGATTATTCACAGCTCCACCAAAGAGTGAATTTGCCCTCAAGAAGTGTGCAAAGATGCAAAATCTTACCAAGAAAAAAATCCAAAAATATTTTAAAAGTCACACATTTGTGAATGAGAAGTCTGTTTTTTTCTTCTTATCACTCTCATTTATCATCTGATGAGTCCTTACATGTATCTGCTGCCCCTGTTTATAAAACTGGATATAAAGAAGTTCACATAAGTCCACCTCCAACAGTAACAAGCTGCCGACACACTGATGCTTCACTATTAATAATCTAATTATGTCACAGGACCAGAGAACCAGTACTTTTAATTGTCATACTTTAATTACATTTTGCTGCTCATACTGATGTACTTTTACTTAAGTTGGAATTCTCATGTAGGACTTTTCCTTGTAATCAAGTATATTAATTCTTTTACTCAACTATCAGTAAACCTGTTATTATTACAGATGTGGAACAAGAACCACTTAAACTATTCAGAAATGTAGATGGCAGCATATATGAGTGTAAAAAAAACAGCAAAATAAATGATCTCTCACTGTTTGATAGTATTACTGGAGGTAATACTCATATTAGAGATGCACGATATATCAGCGACCACATCGGTATCGGCCGATATTAGCGTTTTTTCCCGTATATCGGTATCGGTCCGATAAAAAAATGTAGCCGATGTGGAAAGCCGATGATTGTCTGACATCAGCGCCTTCGTCTCTACGTTTGATGTTGCTGCTATTTCACAGATGTTTTTACTTAAATGGTCCTGGACTTAAATATGTTTAAATATGTTTTGCTTTTGTTGCGTAATAAAGAAGACTATGTAGTCTAATCTGGGCTTCTTCTGAATAGTTTTCTCACAGTGCTTACTTATTCTCATTTTTTGGTGTGAACAAAACCTGAATATCGACATCGGTAATATCAGTTATCGGCGATATCAGAAATCTTAATATCGGTATCGGCCAGAAATTTTAATATCTGTCATCACAAATTTAAATGTAACTTTACGATTCCAAAGATTGTTAGAACGCTGCTGGTTAATTTGTGGAGTTCATTGAGGTTTAACAGTCTGTTCTCTTGACTAACTAGTATCTAAGCAGGATAAGTGGGATAAAAAAAAACTACAATATTTCCTTTTTGTTAAAGCGTCTCACAAAGCTGAACTACTGCATCACGGCTCTTCTTGTCTGCTTCATACGTGTCGTCTGTCCGTTGCAGGTCAGCCCTCCAAGCTCTTGTACGTGATGCACAACTCTGAAACGCCGCTGAGCTGCCTGGCTCTGTTTGAAGGCGGACCCTGCCTGATCGCCGATGCAAACTTCGACGTCCTCATGGTGAAACTGAAGAGTCACTTCCAGAATGCGAAGGGACACAAGGTGGAGTGTCGCGGCTCGAGATACCGCTACTGCGACTTCTTGATAAAAGTCGGCACCGTGACGATGAGCTCCAGCGCCAGAGGGATCTCGGTTGAGGTGTGTGCACATGGTTGGATGTTGTTGGCGAGGGCGGGGGGACACACTGACACTCTGCGCCGGCTTTAACTCCCGCTGTGTTTCCTCAGGTGGAGTACTGCCCCTGTGTGGTTCCAGGGGACTGCTGGAACCTCATGAAGGAGTTCATGCAGTCCTTCCTCAGCAACAGCGTCCCTGAACTGCCATCTGTGTTTGCTGCCAAGCCTGAGGGGCTTTTTGCACCAGCAGACTGCGTTGACACAATGACTCAGTACTTAGAGCTGTTTAACAAGCTCCGCAAACTGCAAATCCCTGGTAGTAACGTGCGCTGAGCTGGCAGTGGAGAGGTCGGTTTTTTTATGTTTGTTTTCTGGTCCTGTGGATCAGAGCGATATCCAGGTGTGTTTGAAATCCTCGGGTTTATTTTTCCATTCGTGGGGCTTTAACTGTACATTATAGACGCCTCCTTGATGAGTGTATTTGGTATTAAAGACACGTAGCTGAGAACAGATGTGATGACCATTTTATATTCGCACCTACATGAAGCGGTGGGGTTGTAAACTTAACAGACATTATAACAGGCACATAAGATAAGATAAACTTTGTTGATCCCTCACTGGGGGAATTTACAAATGATTATCTAACAGTAAAATTACACCAAGATTCTTTATTTTTTTGGTATCTGTTAATAGATTTTCAGTATTATTTGGTGGCTCACAGGGGTCTCGAACTCCGGTCCTTGAGGGCCGCAATCCTGCAAGTTTTAGATGTTTCCTTCTTCCAACACACCTGAATTAAATGATCAGCTCATCATCAAGCTCTGCAGAAGCCTGATAACAATCCTGATCATTTCAATCAGGTGTGTTGGAAGAAGGAAACCTCTAAAACTTGCAGGATTGCGGCCCTCAAGGACCGGAGTTCGAGACCCCTGAGTTAATACATTTAAACCAAGTTCACACAAGCGTCTCTACGCAGAAACATGAGGGTCACAGTGAGAACTCAAGCACATCTTTAAATGAACTTGGATAATTAATCAGATGTTTCAGTGACGTTTCAAACAGAAACCTCAAAAAAAAATGTAAAATGCTGGCCTCTATCAAGGGTACAACAGTAAATAAAACTGAGCAGGAGTTTTTATGATTCTCCAACATTTTATAGACAAAATCTGTAAAAACTTCATGTGCAGATTAATGAAACTAGCTGCAGCCCCAATCAGCACTTTTACTGTCAGTAGATTTATTTCATGGCAGATTTTAACTTGTTTCTGGACTAAAGTGCAGGAAGCATGAAGAACGATCTGGTTTCTGTTCCCAGAAAAGCAGGTTAACATACGGCACACAGAAGACATAGCAGAGCAAGACACGCTCAGGTGTTAGGCCAACATTAAGGATGCTTTTCTTCTATTCAGGTGTCCCAATAGGTGGCTCAGTGAATTCAGCCACTGTTTATTTGCTTTTCCTTCTGTCAGAATGTGAAACGGATGTGTGATGCCACCCAGCAGGAGCAACGAGAGACACATCGATCAAACATAAACTCCACAAGTGGAAATACAGGTTAATAAAATGTAGTTATGCACAAACATAATGCATAAAAGCAGCCATTCTGCATGATGAACACGTTCCCCTGCTTCTGAATTGAACTGCTTTTGCTGTTTCAGCTTAAGAAAGATCAGTTTGATGAATAAAAGATGTAAAAAAAAATGTGCTTCTACAAACTGCTTATTGCTGCCTCAGAGATTCTTTCATCACCTTATTTGACTTTTATTGTCAACAAGTGTTCAGAAATGTGTTTCCGTTGTGTAAAAAAACCATCACTCGCAGCACTTTTTTGGGAGACGTGAGAGTCAGAAGTCTTTCCAGAACCACTGCATGTTTTCCAGACAGCAGCTTGGCACCAGTGTCACCTCCGATTAACTTGAATTACAGTCATTTGCAGCGACACTGAGGCCAAGTTGAGATGCTGTGAGGACTCCCTCCGCATGACTGTGTGCTGAAAAGCTGCACATCCCCCCCTCCGACTGCATTTTATCAGATTATCACAAAGCGGCGGACACATGGCGCACACGGGGTTTCACGGGGACACCGGGGTCAGAGGCTCCCGGGCGGCGATCCTCTGCGCCCGGTCTGCAGTCCAGCCTCGGTTATTGTTCCATGTGGCCTCGGTGGGTGGACGGACGGACGGTCCATCCTGCTGCCTGTTGTTCAGTCCCTCCGCCAATGAGAGCCCGGCTGCCGCTCAGTCCCAGTCCAATGAGAGCAGCAGGGTCTGGGCTCGGATCGAGAGTTGGGTTGTTCAATCTGTGAGGAGGACAACAAGCAGCTCCGAGTGTACCGGATGGATGGATGTTGGCGATGGTAACGTTACCCAGCTTTTCCATTATCAGATGTTACGAACGTGGTAACGACCACCGCTGAGGCCCGGCGTTCTCGTCGCCACATTTCCGCCACCGGCTGAATGTCACCGGGGAGTTTTTAAACGATGAACGGCGCGGTTCGCTAGCGAGCTAAAGCCGCACAGCGTTAGTTAACGTTAGCGTTTGGTTAACTTCGATTGTCCTCAGCAAAACGCGTTAGCCGCGCAGCTAGCGCTAGCCACTGTGGCAAGCTAATAACACAAATGTTAGCTGCTCGGTGCCAAATGAATCACCTGTGTTCAACTAAGTGCGTTATTCGGGGAGGCACGGCGGAGGGCTGAGCACCGCCGACCCCGAGCACCGCCGCCGTAGCTAGCGGTTAGCGGCTAACTTAGTGCTCGCTGGGTTGCCTCAGAGCAACAAAGTTGTTGGATGTTCCTGGAGAGTGGCTCTCTGACTGTTCTTTGTTCTGGCTCAACACGGTGATGGAGGGGTAGCCTAGCATGGCGTGAAGAGCCAGCCCGTCTGAGACACACAGCGGCGTCCCCACCGCGGACCGACAACCGGGGAGATATTTGAACATTTGTGATTATCGGCGGCAGATGCGATAGTAGACGGTTAACATGCAGCGGCGATAGCACAACATCACACACCGCGATGTGGGCACGCAGCTGACGAGAAACCAGTTGCGCCGAGCTGAGAGTTGCTGGTGTCATGGCTTTTTATTAAGATGTTTGCAAAAGTAGTGCAGAATTTACACAAAGGAGGAGGAAAAAAAAAATCAAGAAGAAGAAGAAGAATGGTGTGGCACAGCGCTGGTGCTGGTGAGCTACACAATTACATGGATTAAGCTCCTAATTTAAATGGACACACAGCCGATCCCTTCATGTCAACGTTTGTGCCTCTAAGTTTGGCTGTTTGACTGCTTTCACAGTCGCCTCTGAGGGAAAAGGCTCCATGTGTGGTGTTTATAATGAGAGGATGACTTCACCAGCACACCCACAAAAATCACATTATTTACTAATTGGGGGAAAAAACCAGAGCTCCATAACAGTAATATTTTATTTTTATTGTCAATTATTTGCACTGTTTCCATCTGACTCCAGTTTAATTCTGTAGCTCAGTATTGCACACAGAGTCTCTGAAGTCAAAGGAAAACCCCTAAAACACCTTTAACCACCTGAAGAGAGACACCATGCCTACACCTGCCTCATTTATTATCGTTATCTCTTCTGTCACTGGAGCTCTTTTGTGCAAACCGTGCACCTAACCAGTCACACTGATTCTGTTCATATACTAAAGAGCTTCCTGAGGATCCATGCAGATGCCAGCATGCTGATGTTTTGGGGCTGATTATTATTATTATGATTATTTGCCTATTTTGTTCCATGCATATCTACAATCAAAAGCAAAATCATTCCAACTGTGATTCCCCGTCTTGTTAAAAAATTGTTTAAAAAAATCGCCGTCACATTGAGTTTTGAGGGTCTGATGTTGTTTTTAATAAATCTGCTGACGATATCAGATTGTCCAAACTCTTGGTGAAGTTCACCTCAGTCGATACCTTCTTGTTTTTTTGTTTTAAGTGTGTGATATTGACAGCTTCCTGAAAATATGTGTGAGACTCTGTTTGTATTGTAAAGTGTTATTTTGTGCATCATCAGTGACTGTTTTTGGTGTTATTCTGACGCAGCTCTCCTCCCTGTTCCTCAGACTCTTCCTGTCGGTGCCGTGGTGACAGCGGGCATGGCTGATCAAGCTGAATGTTGCTGTTGAGTTATCTGCAGATGTTGTGATGTATTGTCCCAAACCCAATCAAGCAAATAATTTTTGCAGTTAGTATATTTATTTTTTAACATTTTCTGTCACTTTCTGTGCAGTACAGTGTGTGAACGCTCATTAATTTGAATAATTCAGACTGACATTAACGTACACTATAATAAACAAAGCATCAGCCTGTCACTATTCATCATCCTCCTTTTTTTCTTTTCTTGTCGTTTTCACCTCAGAATGAGTTGCTGCTTGGCTGCAGGACGTGTGTCCTATCACTGAGGCCACATGTGCATCTGGAGAGATGGATCGTTGTAAGCACGTGGGACGTCTTCGTCTGGGCCAGGACCATTCCATCCTCAATCCGCAGAAATGGCACTGTGTGGACTGCAGCACCACCGATTCAGTGTGGGCCTGCCTCAAGTGCTCCCACGTGGCCTGTGGACGTTTCATGGAGGAGCACTCACTCAAACACTTTCAGGAGTCACACCACCCACTGGCTATGGAGGTGCGTGAGCTGGATGTCTTCTGCTTTGCCTGTGGAGACTATGTACTCAATGATAATGCAGAGGGTGACCTCAAACTCCTCAGAGGGGCACTCTCTACTGTTCGGAGCCCAGGTAGGCGTTCCCTACGCTCTTCAACTGGGGGGGAGTGCACCCCCTGGGTTGGGGAAGGTGGACCGCAGCCTGCCATGCAGCTGGCCTTGCGCCACAGGAGAAAAGCACTCCTCGGAAAGATGCTTCAGATGTGGATCAGCAAACATCAGGAGCTTCAGAATCAGCGGAAAGAGAAACTTGAGGAAGCTAGAAGACAAAAGAAAGAGGTAAAAAGGAGACTCATGGAAGAGCTTGGCAATGTTCCTCCCAGAAAGAGTGCTAGGCTTCTTACTCAGGCGCCACGTTCAACCATCACACTCATTCCTCGCAAATTTCGCGACCCTCCAGAACGCCTACCTCCACCTCCCAAGAAGCCTTCCCTCCTGACCCTGTCCCGCAAAGCTCCTCAGAATGGCAGAGCTGCCAAACTGAGGAGATACTACTCCACACATGCGGTGACGCGCCGGAGACTCGCTCCAGGTGTCACTGGTCTGCGCAACTTGGGGAACACATGCTACATGAACTCAATATTGCAAGTGCTGAGCCACCTGCAGAAATTCAGGGAGTGTTTTCTCACTTTGGACCTGTGTGAGACTGAGGAGCTGCTGGCCAAGACCAATCACTCCCAGGGGATGAAGGGGGTGACGGGAGGTGTAGTTAACAGCGGTAACACAGCGCTGTCAGGGTGCCCTCTTGGACGCATGGGGAAGGCGGGTTGTTGGAATTTGCCTGTGGGCAAAAAGGAAAGTGTCCCGCCTGCTCCACAGGCTTCAGAGTTGGTCCAGCCCAAGGAGCCTCGCTGCTCCACCCGCCAGCAGATGTCTCTGTGCCATGAGTTGCATACACTTTTCAGGGTCATGTGGTCAGGCCGGTGGTCGTTGGTGTCTCCCTTTGCCATGCTGCACTCTGTGTGGAACCTCATCCCAGCTTTTCGCGGTTACGACCAGCAGGACGCCCAGGAGTTCTTGTGTGAGCTGCTGGACAAGGTGCAGCAGGAGCTGGACACAGAGGGGTCCAAGCGGCGGATAGTCATCCCCATCACAAAGAGGAAGCTATCCAAGCAAGTGCTAAAGGTTCTCAACACCATCTTTCATGGGCAGCTACTCAGCCAGGTGAGACTCACATCATTCATGTGCAGAGATCATTTGTGGTTATCTTGGCTCAGATTATAGCAAGAATCATGATTACAAATGCAGCCCTTGTGACAAACATTGTTCCGTTTGTTGTGTTTTTTCTTCCTAACCGATGCATGACGGCTTTTCTTGCTGCTCCTTTCTACACTCTTGTCCCAAACCTGCTTTGAAAGTCATACAGTCACAGAGTGAGGCCAAACAGCTTGAAAACAACACATGGCTGCTCCTCCTCAGGAATTAGATGTGATTGTAGACAAAGAAGTCACTTTGAGTGTCTCCCAAAAAGAGGATTTCATGATGCTACATCCATGATAACCAAAAAGTGTGTTCCATGATGTGCTGGAGGACATGTCTCTGTTTACTCGTATTGATTATTTTTAGGGCCAAATGGTTCGGTCGCACACCACACCAGCTAAAATGCTAAATCCAAACCAGCTGGACCTTTGCTGCCTGTTACTCCCCTGTTCTCTTTCCCCACATCCAGTATCTTAATGAGGCCCAAAAAATGGCAAAAAAAGCTCTACGATTTCTCCACCCTGCAACCAAACCTGCATTTTGATTTTTAAACTATTCCTATACTCGATTGTGGGAAAGTTTAGTTATTGTGTTTATTTCATTGTGTTGTCACTTAAAGGTGAAGTATTCTCATCCAATACGCTCTCTGTCAAATGTAGTGAAGTAGATGCAGAGTGCTGACCGTCAAAAAACATCTGGTGTTCGTACACAGTAAATGTAAATGATAGACAAATAAAGTGTCTTGGACTGATCCAGCCAACACGACTGCAGCGTGTCCTGTTCATGTGTTTATGGACGGGTCAGGGGGAAGTAGACGCAGAAGTGGGCGCAAGATGGACCAAGCTGCTGTCGACAGTCTTTCTCCAGAATCACAGACTCACGCCTTTAATTTCTAAATTAAAATCAAGAAACATCACAATAACCTCTCATCCTTCTCTTCCTCTCCTTGTGCTTTAGGTGACGTGTCTGTCCTGTAAGCACAAGTCTAACACAGTAGAGCCATTCTGGGATTTGTCTCTGGAGTTTCCGGAGCGATATCACAGCATAGACAAAGGCTCAGGCTCTTCGGCTTACCAGCGTAGCTGCACCCTCACCGAGATGCTGTCCAAGTTTACAGAGATGGAGGCTCTTGAAGGCAGCATCTACGCCTGCAACCACTGCAACAGTCAGTACCGAGTTCATACAACACAAACACGAGACGGCTTTTCATGTCTTATCTGTTAAGATTTGCCTTCTGAAGCTTGAGCTGGATAAATCAGGATTAAGTCGGGATATCTGGGTGTGTGCCCATAAGTTAACAACAGTTCTGTGTTATGAAGCCTTACGTCGTGATTTTAAGGAAATTTGACTGAATGGAAAATACATGGAAGCACACACACGTCCAAACAGAACGACAAATTTTATATTCATGTTTTTTAAAAATGTCGTCAGGATTCTGCGTTTTTATTCAGTTTTTGCTCGTGGGACAACACTTCTGTGAGCAATGTTTTGATTTGTTCACAAGCGTGTCCAGCTCTCATGGTCTTACAAGACACCAGTAAAGCAGCGTTGCAACAATACATCCAAAACCCACATTATCCCGTCGCTCTGTCCTTAAACAAAACATGTCGCCTTCTGTCCCAGGCCTGACATGAAAACAGTTCCCCTTCTCAAACAGAACTCCAGTTTTTCATGATCGTCCAACCAGAAGAAATCAGCAGAAGCAGAGGACATAGTGGCCCTCTTACATCTTCATTTACAGGACAGGAAAACATAAAGCGAACCTCATTCTCAACTTCACCTAAATCACACAGCAAACAGCACCTGTCCTCCTCTGGAGTAGCAGCAAACCTCCTAGTTTCAACGGCTGATCCAGATCCTAACTGTGCACACAGCGATCTGTCTTCTGCTTCAATTATACGTCACATATGCTTCCACACTGTATCTGTTCTTTATAAGACAGTAAGCTCTTAGTTTATACCAACGATATGTGAGTCTGCAGCGACTCGGAGGCCATACAGCGTGTTGACCTGTCTGCATGGTAGGAAACTGTGTCGCCTGTGCCCCAACACAGAGCCCCACGTCAGTCGTTTTAATTCGTCTGTGGATTAATTCACCTTCTCACCGTTTCATGCTTTCAGAAAGAAGACGGAAATCATCCCACAAACCCTTAGTTCTGTCAGAAGCCCGTAAGCAGCTTCTGATCTACCGTTTACCTCAGGTTCTACGGCTGCACCTCAAACGCTTCAGGCAAGTTCCTCTGATTTTCTCACTCTGTATTAATTTCAAATTCTCTCTGCATTTGAATCAACTGGAGGATCCCTGTAGTATGGGGGTTTTTTCTGGTGCAGGAGTGTTTTTATGTGAGGAGGCCTGTGAATTCTCGTAACACTAACCCGCCCCTGTTGCATGGCAGATGGTCGGGGCGGAACCATAGGGAGAAAATCGGCGTCCATGTGGCCTTTGACCAGGTTCTGAACATCAAACCATACTGCTGCACAGGCTCAGGTCACTCTGTCCACAGGGGAGGCTACACCTACGATCTGTCCGCTGTAGTTATGCATCACGGCAAAGGCTTCGGCTCAGGGCACTACACCGCATACTGCTACAACACAGAAGGAGGTGAGCGGGAGGCCGCACTCGGTTTCACATCAGCCCCGTGGTTTTCACTTTGTGTCTCTAACATCCTGGTTTCCTGTCGCCCTCAGGTTTCTGGGTCCACTGTAATGACTCTGAGATGAAGGTTTGCAGCGTGGAGGAGGTGTGCAACACTCAGGCCTATATTCTCTTCTATACCCAGAGGTCTGCCTAGGTACCTCTCGCTGTGATGTTGACCTGTACACGGCAACTTAGGGCTGCATTTATGAAAACGTTCTCTGATGTTTTCCCAGATGTCATTAAACGATCACTTTGAAATGATTTGCTAAAAAAAGATGGCAATGAGGGCAGTGGGACAGCCGCAGTCGTGAGTCAAGGTGAGAATTTTAGCAGCATAATCCAGACGAGGGTACCAGCGGTAGTCGTGTTACTGTGCTTAGTAGGAGGCAGGCGTGAATAGTGAGGAAGACAACTCTGGATTATGTTTGACACACTGAAAGAAAAACAAAGTAGAAATCAAAAACCTTTTCATAAATGAGGCCACAGGTTTCTGAGCCTGTGGGTCCAGCATATCGGTTTATGGCCTGAAGACTGTGGCAGCGGCGGGTTCCCCAGTCGGTCCTGCTGAACACCAAGTTGTGTGTCCGTGTTTTTAAAACAACAATCAGGCTCCTGTGTGTGTTGAGTCTGGGACCAACCAGGCGCTCTCCTGAGACAGCATTTTACAATGAAGGGCGGATTCTGGAGTTTGGGGCGTTTAGTCACGGTAACGTCGACGATGTGCTTCTTATACGTAACTGTACATTTGATCTCGGTGCACTAAGTCCTGTAAGAGGCGTCATCGCAGAGGACGCTCGTGATTAAAGTCCAAACTCCACGGCGCCTCCTGTTCAGCTTTTTTAATTATTGTGAAATGTCAGTTATGGAAACTTTTACTACTCATCCCTGTGTCATTTGTACTTCATCATGTCCTCTCCTCAAATGTACTGCTGTGACTGGATACTGTGTCTTAGGCTCAAGGCTCTCAGTGAACATGACTAGATTTATGTTTTTAGTTTCTTTTGTAGTCATTCTGTTTTAGTTCCATGACAAGAAGCAAAAAGTATGAGTTTCAGACACTTGATTGATGACGAGTGATGGAAAGCTGCACTTTTGAGGAGGGGCTGTTGCTGTTGGTCCTATCTTTGGCTCCTGTAACTTCTTGAAACGGCAGCTCCTCCGGTGGTTTTTAACGGTTCGGCCCGGCCCGTCTGAGACTCTGCGCCTCTGCGTAACCTGCAGCAGGTGAGAAACGAGTGAAAGGGCAGACTGCGATACTGAAGAATGTGTTTTTGGGAAACTTGGGGTACCCATTTTGAGTTGAGCACCTGAAAGCAATATATTGTACATCTTGCATCTTGACAGGAAATTAAGATAAAATCAGGAATTCTTCTGCTTGTTATACAATGTTTTTTTCTACTCTGCTGTTTCTATCAAGGTCTTTAGAATTTGCTAGGTAATCAAGAAAACCTGTTGTGTTTGATACGAGTCAAATGCAACATACATTTGTGAACTCTATGTGAAAGTTGGAACAATCTAATGACGATGAATGTCTTACTTTTCAGCGGTCAGGTGTGGCCATGCCACCGGCTCTGATCCCCTTGAGTTCTGTCTTGTACTGTAAGAATACCTGTCATAAATGTAATGGTCATATGGGTTTTGCCTGACAGTAATTATTAAAAAGACAAAACAAATTTGAAACCGTCTCTGTCTTGTACTCATTGCAGATTATCTGTCGTTTTAGTGTCGCCTCAAACAAGGACGGTTCATTCAGCCTTTCAATATGAGCATTTTCACAAATTTAGAGTCAGCCGAGACCGATATAGTAAATTAGAACTGAAATAATCCACAGGATTAGCAGATGGACGCGCAGCGGATCTGAGATCTGCTGTTAATTCTGCCCCTCTAATGCTTTCTTAAAGATTTTAAAGCCAGAGCAAATGTAATCTGCTCCAGATAAAGATGCTGCTGATAGTCGGCGGTGGAAGAAATTGATCCTTAAGTAAAACTACTCGTACCACACTATGACGATATGCAGCTATAAGAAAGACTGCTTCATTTAAAATCTGAAGCATTTAAGTATCATCAGTAAAAGTGCTCATTGTGCAGTTGAATGGTTTCTATCAGTGTATTATCATATATTTAAAAAATACTGTGTTGAGGAGTAAAACGTTCTCAGACTGTAAAGGAACGTTTAATCCTGATATTTATGACAAACGTTCAAAATCGACTCGTTCTGAGATGAACGAGACGAGTATGAAACTGAAGCAGTAATAAAAAGTAGAAAAAAGTCCTGTGTTGTAGTGGAGTAGAAGTACACATTAAACGGATATACTTCAGTACAGGGACGTCGTATTTGAGTCACGGTATTTGAGTTAATGTGCTTAGTTGAGGGTAAAAAAAAATGTATTTTATTTATTTGTTTTTCACCAGATTCAGGTCCCTGCATCCTCAGTGACAGTTTTCATTTTCCAGTCCTGACCTGAACGCATCATATTTAGCAGCATCTGGAACAAACACAAACAACAAGGAATCCTTTGTCAGATATGGATTATGGATGGCGTTTGCTGTTGAGCCACAGGACTGCCGGAGACTTTGGAGAGAAGAAATAAATGATTAGGAATGAAAAGCTGTCTTAAGCCTGCAGCCTTGTTTGATCGCTTCACTCCGGAGTTGTGCTGCTGCAGCTTGTGGCGGCTCATGTTAGCAATGTTTAGGTAAATAAATACTGCATTATATAATTACAGCATTGGAGCTGAATGAAACGCTCAACAGCACAGAGGAGAGAAGCAGCTGAAGTTACACAATGCAGTGAAAACTTCACTTTGAAATCAGAACATTGGAGTGTTTTAGTGGCACTGGGCCTCGAAACTAAATGATTTGTGTTTAAAGAAAGTGCATCAGTGAGCATTTCCACATGTCGTTTTTAAACCGTGAGATGTTGCATTAATGACTGGCATCACAAATAGAAATAGGAACAAAGGATATTTATTAATAGGCGAGCGTTCTAAAAATATTCCCAAAATGGATGGAAAACGATTTCCCTAAATGGAAAACAAAAGTTCAAGCATGAGATGAACTCATACAGCTGATGCTCTGTTACACCAGAACCTACACGCCTCAAAGATATCTGCAAGAATTATTGCTCTTATAATAATAATAATAATTATAACTTTACGGCTGATGCACTTTCTTCAAACACAAGTATTAGAAACGCTGTGGGCATGATGGGAGCTGAAACACAATAAAACAAGTCTTCAGCCTGGTCAACGGGTCCTTCACGACTCCAAATAAAAAACTATTGTATGATTAATGCATATAATTATATAGCATTAGCTGTACTCGTATTCAACTTGTGTCTGTTTCAAAGAGCAGTTTTGCTAAAGTCAGAAGTCATGCTGATCAGTACTGATGATGATTTTCATGTTTGTTATAATCAGTTATCTGTTTTATAAATATGATGAGACCTTTAAGCAATAATTCTATTTCAGCACACTCTTTAAAAAAACATATAAAACTGCTATAGAATATAACCTAATCTGTTAATAACAGATAACCCTCTGAGCCCCTCAACCTGCCAGTGGGTTCCACCGTTTATCAGAGTGGAGGAATTTCTGGATTGTCAACTTTCTGACAGTCCTTGAACACATCAGACGTAGTTATCTGATGTGTGGTCCAGCTGGGAAAATTAATCAAGTCTAATCTTAAAATTGTGATATTTCATCAAAACCACATCGTTCTACACGCCTCATTTAACAGTTAAATAAAAATACGCTGTGCAGTAACCAGATTCTGTAAAACAAAATAAAATCTGTGCTCGATGGCGCAACTGAGAAGACCAACAGTCATGAGACTTTTCAGATGAGCTGCAGGCTGTGTTTATACAGAGCAGAGAATATGGACACAGATCAGAAAGATTAAGAGGAAAATAAAATATGATCACAAAAAAATAAAAGCAGCACGGCTAAAAAATAAAAAAACGGGAGCAAGTTGTTGGACGGTACATTCATCATGCTGAAATATCTTTGTAGTAACTGTAAGAATCAGTAAAAGAGTTAAATATCTGCAGTATGTGTTCAGAGTAACGCTTCATGCTTTATAATGCAGCAGTAATAAAAACAGATTTGGCTGTGAACAATATGTGCTTGTTCTTTCTAGCTGGCAGTAATGCAGTTATAATGTTGGCAATCAATTAATTAATACATCAATAATAAATTGATTTGGTCCAGATCCTCTGCAGCAAATAAGTGTCTGGGGATTTTCACACCCCGGCCTTATTAATGGCCTTAATCTGACCTATATGAAGAGTTTATTAACTATTGATAAAGCCATTAGTTGCAACTCGTATATCTCTGTTGACGGATGCATTTTAAAATCATGCTTCTACGTCTTAAGTTACCGTCTTCAAAGTCGTTAAAAGGTCAAGAATAATAAGGATGTAACCGAGATCAGCCTAATATATGAAATCATTTATTTCTTACATCGTTTAATAAAACAGCAATAATTATTTTTTGCAAACTGGATATAAACCTCGACATGCCAGTTAGTTTGACACTGTGGATAGTAGCAGTTCTACAGTAAGTGGTAACGAAAGAGCATCTATGGACAGAAAAAAGTTGTACGTCGTCGGAGCGTTGTGGTGAATTTCAGCGAGAGAGTTCTTTTTCTAAAACTGTTCATTCAATCGTAAGAAGAAGAAAAAAAAAGACTAAAAGAAAGAATCTAAAAGCACTGCTTCAACACCAGAACAGGATGTGAAACAAACCAGGAATGACACCGAGCGGAGATACGACATGTCTGCACTGTATATCTGACAACAAAATGGCAGTTATAGAAGATTCATTTTGTCATTCATGAAATGTTAACTCATGCCAGCTAGATGCATCCCAGTGCACATATGAGGACATGCATGAGCACATAACATTCATGAAAAACCCCCTTTTCCCCCTTCAATATACTATAGCTTCAACATGAAGATTACAGCAAACATGTTCGGCGTTTTACAGTCATAAGTTGCTCTAGTCTTTGTAATTCTCGTATCATAAATAATTAGAAAAAGACCAAAGATTTCTTGGAAGAAACTCAGTTTTTGGTGACAGCGATGCAACCGATGATTGGTCATCAACACCAGGAGATTTGGGTGAGATGAGATGACGTCTTTAGTCGCTTGGCAAGCAGAGAATTTCTGTTCTTTTGCTCTGTAAACACCTCTCAGCTCTCCCTGTAGCCACATTTCATCTGCTCCTCAGCTCAAAGTGCCATGTTTTGTCCTCAGAAACTCCACCTTTCAACTCAAAGGGGAACAAGTGCAGCAGTTCTGTTCCAGTCTCTGGGCTCGTTAGTGTTCGTAAGTAGAAAACCAGCCTGTGGCTCTCTGCTGGAGTCTCTGGCTTAGCTGGGCAGCAGCCACGGCTCCACAAAATCCCACTGCTTCCACAGAACGAAGAGCAGCAAGGTGAGCAGGACGGTGGCGGCTACCCGGGCTCGGGTCTTCATCAGCGGGGTGATGAAGTTGGCCAGAGTGGAGACGAAGACCAGCAGCACGGCCATCAGCGCCAGGATGACGTTGATGAGTTTCCCCAGCAGAGCTCGAGCGTTGGCGTTCTCCACTCCCTCCAACTGGACGACCTGCTGCTGCTGCTGCTGCAGCTCCAGTTTGGTGATGCGGGTCAGACACGACTCCACGGCCTCCTGTGTGACCGCACAAACACAAAACACACGGTGAGGTCTTTTCCCCACAACTTTGATTAAAGGATCTGAAAACCTGTTTTCTCAAACAGCTTTTTACGATGAGCGTTGACGTCCACGATGTTCTGGCAAATGTGGAGCAGCTGATCTGTGTGAGTAACCAAATGGTTTTCTGTGTTTTCCTTAGTTTTCTGAAGTGCTCACAATCTGCTGACAGTTGAGAGTTGACAGGTCAAATCAAATCTGAACGACTGAATCACATACTTTGTCCTTCTATGTTGCGTACCTACTGAAGCTGCCCTTACATCGGACATACTGAACGCACACTGTGAGAACATACGACTTTGTCAAAGTATTGCACCTTAAACTTTAACATATCTGTGGCTCCGAGTGACTCAAGTTTGTTAATACTTGCATGACTCCTCGACGTCTGTAGCGGATGTGACGTATCTTCCAACGCGTGGAGGACTGTGGGTCAGAATGCCCAGTACGATGGCTTACTGGGTATTCTGGGCATTTTGCATTTGGCATACTATGTACTGGAGCAGACTAACATATTATCTGGCATAGGCTACCATATAGTATGATAACATGGATATTGAAATACACCCTGAGTTTTTGACCTTGAGCTGTTCAGACAGCTGGTGCAGCGCCAACACTCAGCTGCCAACTTTTTCTGGTGTTCATTCTTTTGTTTTGCACCAGTAGAGGCTTCAAAATACACTTTCTACTGGCGTTAAACAAAAACCTGTTCTCTCTGTCTTTATCACAGGATTGACATCAGTGTTTCTGATTCTAATTGGCTTGCATTGTGCAGGAGGTTGTCTGTTAGCAGTAGCACTGATGCTAACGCTACTGCTAGCAGCCACAAAACATTACTACCTGCTGAGCAAAATGAACAGCAAGTCAGCACCAACAGCAATACTTGGAAACACCAGAGTGGTAGAAGTTGGCTGTTTCATATTTGTCACACTGTCCTGCAAAAGTGGATTTAATTCTCATCCCAATCGGCCTGTTTCCACTGCAGGAACATGCTGGGCGTTTAGTGGCGGCCCGAAACCTTTGTGCTTGTTCCTACTGCAAGAACTGCCCTTCTAGAGAAAAAGTACCAAGTCAAGGGAAATATACTTCTGAGTAGCCCTGAGAAACTCAATGCTGAGGAGGAAGAAGACAAAGGCTGGTTGGTTAAACTCAGACAGAGCAACTCGGGCTTCTCTTCTGCCCTCTCCATGTCCTTGCTACGTCCAATTAACTATTTTTCTCTTTGCTTTGACACACTCTATGTTAAAGTCAAAGTTGTCGACACCACAAACAGAACGGCTAACAGGGCCGATTCATGCCAAGGCCAAGCAGGACCCTGTGAGCTGCTCCAATGGCGGAGAAATGGTAATGCTGACGTGTAGAAATACAGAAACACCATCTTTAAACCCGATCTGCAGTTTTCCTTAGAACTTCCAAGAGTTCAGATCCTTGAAAATGTGACTGAATTGCCAAAAACAGGGTATGGCTCAGTGTTAGGATGTGTATTTGGTCCCCTTCACATATCTTTGTGAACTCTAAACACACACTTACTTTGTTATTTACCTGCTAGTTATTGACACCAGCTTTTTAAATTACCATGAGCTCGTACTTGAATCATATCTGGAAACGAAATTTTGACGTGAAATATTCAGCATGTAACAAGAAATCGATGAATTCTGACAGACGCAGGATTTAGTATTATTACAATAACAGCAAGACCTGTTTTTAGCTTTAGTCCTTTAGTCCGTAGGATGATTTAAAGCTATTAACACATCTTTAAGTCCACTAATAACGTAGCAGCGTTTTACCTGAATGTCCCTCGCTCTCTCGTAGGACTGGTAGGCGACTTTCTCCTCCATGCTGGCGAGTTCCTGTTTCAGGTTGGTCATCTCATTTTGGTGCAGCTCTGTTAAGTCATTTAGCTGCTCTTCAAGTCTCTCATACCTGAAGATACAACACACACACACACACACACACACACACACACACGAGTCCTTTAAAATGTGTGCATTAGATGAGGGGTTGCACAGGTCAAGGGTTGTCTCTGTGGATGGATGTGACCTTCTGCACCATAAAACTTACCATTCTTGTCCAAAATCTAAAAAACAAACAAACTTGGGAATGAATCACATTGTTGCTCAGGATGCCATAGTCTTTCATTAGTAGTCTTTTGAGTTATTCCTACTGTCCTGCTGCACTAAATCCTCACATGAACACCAAATGGTATTCAGTCACAGCTGAAAATAGTCCCGAACAAACGCATTTAAAATGTAGGAACACACTAAAGATTCATCTTCAGTAGGAACAAACTGTCTTGATACTAAAAGCCACCAAAGAGGTAGGAGGTATAAATAAAATGACCATACACCAGAAGCCTTAACGTCTTCATGATGCGGGTGGCGTCTACCTGTATCGCTCTTCCTGCAGACACTGAGTCATGTAGGAGTAGTCGCTCTGCAGCTGGCCCTTCATGTCCTCGATGGCGTCCTCCATGTGCGACTGGCTGGCCTTGATCTCCTGCAGGCCCTCCAGTAGAGAGTCCCATGAACTGTGCATGTGGTGGTGGTGGTGGTGGTGCCCGTCCAGTCTTGGGCTCCCCATGGTTGGTCCTAGCAAACCCCCTCCTCCTCCTCCCGCCCCACCAGAATTGCTGCCTGCTCCGGAGCCGGACGTGGCGCTGGAGCACTCGTCGTCGCTGCCGTACTTTGGGCTGGAGACCAGAGTGGCGCTTCCACTCAGGGCTCTGGGTGTGGGGGTGTCTTCAGAGTGGCCCCCGACCCCGTCTTCGAGCGTGTCCTTTAGGTGAGCAATGTTATCAGCACTACCGAATTTGTTCCTGATAAGACTGGCGAACTCCCTGGGCTTGGACACCACGGCTGTGTGAGTGAGGGCAGACACTCCACCTTTGACCCCTTCAACTACTCCGCCTCCAAAACCACTTATCCCAGCACGAACATTGGCCCCCACGTCCTTTAGTCCTTGCTGCATGTCCCGCAGGACATCCTTGGGCTGCCGGGCCGGTCCATTCTGCAGAGAGGGGAAGACAGATGAGGAAGCAGAGAAATGGAGGATCTCAAAGGCAGGAGAGAGGTGATTAGGTTTAAGGGACAAAACTTGAGGAAGACAGATGAGGAAAGCAGGTCCTGCAGAGATTTAGGTGAGACACAGGATGATGATGCGTTGGTTTAAATAAGTGTGCGGAGAATCGTCAGTCTATTTCTGGACACATCTGTCCTCACAAAGATAGAACACTCATGAGATAATTATTCAAAACAGCCACAGTCCAAAAACAGCTCCACTGACAGAGATTGTGTGCCCACACACACACACACACACACACACACACACTTACCTGCTCTATCTCCTTTAGCTTCTTATGGTAGTGCTCTAGTTTTTTGTGCAAGTGTGCAACGGTCTGTGCTGACTTCTGGTTCTTCTTCTCGAACACCTGCTTGATTCTGGCGGCCTGCTGTTTGTCTGCGTTGTGAGCTAGCTTCAGGTACTCGGCGACGTTGTCGTCACGGGCCTCCTGCTCCACGCGGATCTGCTCGGTGACCTTCAGGATCTTCTGCTGCAGGTGCTCCAGAGCAACACGAGTCCGCTGAGGCTCCCCTGATCCCTCTGCTCCTCCGGACACGACCCCAGACGGCGCTGCCGCCGCTCCGTCTGCGCTGATGTTGCTGTCAGAGCCTCCATGGCTGAGGGTGGAGGGTAGGCCTAGAGTTGCCACCTCGCTCTTGTCCAGCTGAGGGGACAAGAGGGCAGGGGGGTAGTCAAGGGTGCAAACAGGGCGACGACCGCTCCAGATGAAAATACTGGTTGACTCAAGCAGAATAAACATTGTTTTTATTTCAATCTACTCAAGTAACAGCAGAAAAGCAGCTCTTATGAAGGTTATTCTGAGTAACAGGCTCATGACGCGTATTGTATTTTCTCTCCACAGATTGTAAGAGATTAGATGTTATATATTCATTTATCGATGCAAAAGCAAACCAGACGTTCTGCTGCAATTATTGGTATGGGAGCATATATACTTTCTTAATATTTTCCAAGAAGTGTTTTGAAAATAACTAAAGTGGAACAAATAAGTATTCATTTATTTATATGACTTCAGAGCCTCTTACTCAGAGCAAGAAGTCACGTTTCTCTACAGAAAAACAAACAATCGGGTAGAAACTGTGCAGAAAGACAAAGTCCCTATTTTTTCTCCAAATTAAACATTTATTTTTAAAGGTGTAGTTTCTCTTAAAAAATATATTTCCTGGGGCCAAAGTAAAGTCACTGAGCAAATGATTAAACCTTCTGAGATGCGAGTGCTTAAAATGAGTTACTTTCCAGCCCTGGCGCTTACGGCTATAATTGATTTGGTGGAGAGATCAGAGAGTACACAGAAAGGCCATCATGCATTAATTAGATGATACATAATTACACTGCTTCCTGCTCCAGCACAGCCTCAGAAAGTCAGCACACAAACAACTTTTAAACACCTTTCTCTTAAAAAAAAAGAAGCTGCAGATGATCAAAAGCTGCAATGACAACAAATGGCACATTTAAAACCCTGACAGCTGTGATGATGATGATGAGACGTTTCTGTGACTCTCCTCTGGATCCAGACTGTTTCCTGACACAGCACAGAGGATGTAATCTGTCTGAACAGTTAGATATGTGCTGACAAATCATTGATCCATGCATGAGGGGATTCCCTGGTCACTATCTATATGATGGCAGATGGCAGGATTGTTAGTGACCCTCAGCCTGACGCCTGTAATCAGAGCCTGCAAACATGAGCTCAGGCAGACACATGACACCGAGCGTCTCATAGCGCTGCTCTAATTTCTCCAGGCGGGACGGTGCGAGGATTTATTTGTATTTTATTCGCGTGACAGTGTGAAATGAGCACAAGCTCTCCCCCCCTGTGCTGTCCGCTATCCAGAGCCGAGCCAAGCAGGCAGTGATTTTTTAAAAAGTAGGTTACAATCACATTGTAAAAAAAAACAGATGACTGCAGTCCCTGGTGATTAATCATTTCCTAATCTTGTCAGAAAATAGAAAAAAAAGTGAGATGCTTATGCAGTAGCGAAGCTCACAGGAGGAGGGAGGGTTGCGATGGAGGGGAGATGCGGTGTCCGGCGGTACAATATGGGTGAAAACAGACAAACAAAACCAGCACGGAGCAGCAGGAAGCCATGGCTGCAGCAGCAGCAGCACCCGGATCTGACTCCTGCTTTTGTTGTTGTTCAAAGCACACGAGGGTGATGCCGTGGATGGATGGATGGAGGCATCCTGAAGGTCGGAAGAGAAGCAAGGGGTGGTGATGAGGATGGAGATGGCAGATGTCTGAGGCATGAAAACGAGAGGACGGGGTCTGCCCTCCTCTCAGGAAACACACCGTGGCGCGTGAGAGATGGATGTCAACAAGCGTGGATGCGAACACACGGGGATGAGACACAAGCAGCACAGCGATAAATTAAATCAGAAACGTTACCATACTGCTTTAATCCAATTTTTGCAGTGCCATTGCAAGTCTGTGTTCGAGGCCCATCCTCCTCCTCCTCCTCCTTCTCCCTCCTCCTCCTCCTCCCCCTGAGCTCCCCCCTCCTCAGATGTCTTCACCCCCAGCCGTCGCCTGGCTGACTATCACCTCTCTGGATCCTAATGCTCCATTGTTAATGCCATCGATATCTGCAGCCTCCCTCTCTCCCTCTCCGGCGCTCTGATCTGTCTCCCTCTCTCTCTCCCTCTCTCTCCTTTGTGTCATATGTTCCCTCCGCCTCCTCCTGCTTCCCTCCACTACATCTCTCCCTCTCTGCTGTGGCTCCCGTTCAGTCTACATGCGAGCGCGCGCGGTCCTGCCCTATAATGGATGTGGGAGCTAAGGAACAGATGATGGAGGGGAGTGGGCGGGGGGATGGGAGAGCTTAGCGCAGGCGTGCAGGTGCCTCTGTGCTGCCGAGGCCAGAGGAGGGAGGGAGGGAGCACTCCGGGCCCTGCATCCCTCCGTACAAACCCTCTAAACCCCTCAATGCAAACACATGCAGCCAGCGTGTGCTGATGTGGGGCTGCAGTGATGTGGTGCCAAAGCACACAGCGGCTCAGAGCAGTGACTCCCCTCTTCTTCATCCGCCTCCTTCACAACAACAGAGGCTTGTCTCAGCGACTCAGCTCTGCTTCAGGAACTTCAGATCTCTTTTGTGCTGGATTGTGTGTGTGTGTGTGGTGTGTATAGTGTGTGTGTGTGTGTGTGTGTGTGTGTGTGTGTGCAGAGGGATGCCCACTGAACGGAGATGAAAACCAGCTTTGATCAGCATCCTCAAAACAAACCTGAAATAAATTTCAAAGAGCGGCCTGTGAAGGCTGAGGGAAGAAAAGTCTGCTGTAGTCCACAAACACTGTGTTATGAGCAATAATTTACTAAATAAGTATTAGTTATGGAGCATCAAAAGGCACCTGTGATTTTATATTCTTATACATTCTTATGAATAATTTACTAACCAGCAGTCCTGAGCAAAACTTGACATACAACTGTAAAGGTGATGGACATGATGGCAGAGTTTCCAGTGATTCCAGTAACTCACAAACAATCATACGTTTTGGTTCCTTCATAGATGTTTCTATGAGTCTTCTCGATATAAAAATCTTTTAATCATATCTATAGTTGTCGTAGACCTCCATTATTTGTTAATGATTAATTAGTAGTTGTATCACATTTATCCTAATAAGAGCGACTAAATATCGTTATATATCATATAATATTGTATATTAAATCCATCACTTATTCATATGTTTGTGTATGTGTGTAGGCCTGTAAATATATTTATGTGGTGTATTTATATTGGTAATATACATTTCTATAGGAAATCACACTGATTATATATATGGTACAATTACAGACTGATATTGGTGCAGTTAACTGATTATTTATTGATGCATATTTTATATTAAATCCATTTATTGTACATAGGAACATGTAATATTGTGATGAACCAGAGGGTGATAAGGGGGTAAGTTAATAAGTTTAGACTTCTTCCTACTCCTTATTGAACTCCAAAAGTTTGTTTTTAAGTTTATTTTTTTGTTTGAAATAAATATTGCATTCATTCATTCATTCATTCATTCGTTCATTCATTCATTCAAACATGACAAATACTGCTGCATTAAAAACATACATACAGCAATGCTAATGTTAGTCAAACGTCCCTTTGCTGTTTTCACTGGAACAAGGAACCATTTGGTGGCCGTCCACAAGCTTCTGGTTCCATCTTCGACCATTTCTCTTCACAGAATAAACTAAATTTATTGGCTTTATGAAGAAAACTTGTTTCTTCATGACAGGCCACAGGTTCTTGACGAGGTTTAAATCAGGGCTTAGCCTGATTAAAACCAGTCTTTTGATGTTTAAGATCATTATCTTGTTGGAACACAAGACCCGACCTCCTGGCTGATGACTTTCGGGTTTTCCTGAAGGATGTGAAGGTAACCTTCATTATTCCATTTACTTTGTGCATCAGCATCAGTTCCTGTTCTGGCAGCAGAACAGCCCCAGAGCATGATGCTGCCACCACCGTGCTCCACAGCAGGTTTGGTGTTCTTGGGGTTAAAAGTCTCACCTTCTCTCCTCCCAACATGTTTCTGCTCATTGTGGCCAAACAGCTCAGCTTTTGTTCCATTTGAACAGATAACTTTCCTCCAGAAGGCCTTTTGTGTCTTCATGTAATCAGCAGCAAACTTCAGTCGAGCCTGAAGCGGCTGTTTATCAGCCTCTCAGTTCACAGAAACACCAGTTGACTGTTGACACTGACATCTGTGTTCCTGCAGCTTCTAATTCACTGAAGACCTACTTCCTGGTGAATCCTGGTTGACTCTTGACCATCCTGACCAGCTGTCTGTCAGCAGCAGGTGATAGTTTGTGAAACAACTGTACCATTTACTTCATACTTACAAAAGATGGTGTGCACATTTGATTTTAGGATCTGTAGCTGCTTTGAAATGGTTCCAACTGACTTTCTGGACGTGTTCGAGTCACTGATTTGCTCTTTCAGATCTGAGCTGAGCTCCTGTTGTGTTTGTGGCTGAGTGTAATGAGTTTATCAAATTAGCCCGATTTAAATTGGCTCACAGGGGTCACCAGCTGTAGTCAATTGTTAGTAACTCACAAGAGGTTCAGGGCCATGCCGCTAGGAAAATCAGATCACCACAGCTGTCTATATATATTTTTGATCCAGCAGATTGTGTCATATTTCCAAAAGATTTATAATAGATCTATGAAAGAACCAAAATGCACATGGGTTGTTTCAACACATGGGTTTCAGTCATTCAGTCATAGAAAGTTAGGTGATGTCAGTCCTTTGTCCTTCGTTTCCTGCCTGTCATCCAGTGCTGTAACCTCACTGCTGCTACGTACGTTTACTCATCCTGCACAGTGCAGCTTAGTTGTGTTTGTAGCGCCTCCTCTGGATGCTAGGGGGAATGTCTGGTGTAGGTTTTCCTCCAACGAATGAAAGTAAATGGAACTGTGGGTTAACGCAAGCCGAGATGTCTTGTGATCAAAATCCCGTGACTTCTCATAAATCTTTTCATAGATTAGGGCGGAGCAATTTTCAAACAGCAGCACCACATGAGACGACCACCCAAAGGTCAGCGGTACCAGGAGTGTTAAGGACATGCATGTCTTGTTGATAAAAGGGTATTTCTTAGAGCAAATATATTCTATATGTGTTATTTCAGTTTGATTTTCTGTTGTCCCGCTCACAGAAACATGGTTTATAATGTGGGAGAAGCTCAAAGCAGATTCCAACTTTATACGCTGAACCAGTCAAGGATTTAAAAATGAATGTAGAGAAAATAGAAAGAATCAGATCCATGGAGGGAGACAGATCAGCCACAACATCAGAGTGGTATTTACCTGTTAACGTATCAGTGTGATAAATAAGTCTGACAGGGATCCAGTTCAATCTGAATGTGGAATATTTTTTACTTACTTTGATATTTTCGCTGTTACACATTTACAAAATGACATGCACAGCTTTTTTTTTTAATTGTTTTATCGCTGCTTTTACTTGAGTAAAGAAAATCTGAATACTTCCATCTAAGTTGCTGGAAAATCAAATTAATTAAAAAAAAAAAAAACAACTTTCAAATATTGCTTGACGATTACATTCGGACGTGTAAACCATCCTTTCACTACAAAATGTCTGACATCATTTTAAAAAAAGGTGAATAACATTTATTTCTGATGAATCATCAGCTGTGACGACACAAAAAAGACACTCACACCAAAATCCATTTGAATATTTTATTCGAATTTGGAATTCTCATAATAATTAAAAAAAATCTAAATTAACACCAGGCATAGTATCTCACAATAAATAAGGATAGATCTTTTCATTTGCAGCTTATAACATAGAACAACATGTAGGACCTGTGCACAAGCAGCTATAAACAGAAGTGCTTTCATTGTTCTGGGGTGATTTGCTTCGCTGTAGTGTTTGCGAACAGGATGAGCGTTACAGTGACTGTGTGTGACTCCCCTTCAGATCACTCATAGCAGCAGGATTCGCCAACACAAGCCACAATAACGTTCTGTTAGTTTTGAGGCAGATTGTAACACACTGTCTGTTAAACCGCAGTGCGTTTCAGAATAGAGAAGAACAGAAAGCATGCCACTTTAGCTTACTAAATAATACGTTTGCTTCAGAGAACGCGGTCTTCTGATTGTCCTTTAAGGAGCTTCAAATACCGAAACAAATGCCCGAAAGGCACTTGATGCTGGGCGCGTCGTTTGCACCACCATCACATTTATGTGCAATACTGCAGTGCTTCTGTGATAATGCTACTTCACAATGCTGTAATAAACTCTATAGATAAATCTCTGATATATATATAATCTAAATATAAGTGTTTAGGTGTTATGGTGCTACACTCATAACCCACATTATCTGGTGCTGGACAGGGCAGCTATGGAGACATGCTTTGAAAATCGATTGACATACAGTAGAAAGGATGGAAGAGGACATGATGGCACTTCTGTCATTTACAATCTAAGCAAAAGCAAACTGCATGTTCAAGATCTCACAACTCTTCAAGCATTTTCCTATGAGTACATGATGGTGGATAAAGCATGATTGTACAGCTCAGGATACAAAGTATTACACACTCTGGAGAGTAAAAAAACAAAAACAAGACTCCTAGCCCTTGTGATACACGTTAAAAAAAAAAAAAACACTGTAGAAAAACAATAGTGGAATTGAACAAAGGAGCCACCATCCATTCACCGTTTTCAGTCACTCTGCAGCTTTCGGACAAAATGATTTGAGCCAGCGAGGCACCTGATTCAAGTGTGTACAGTTATTGCGTTCGTCCATCGTTTTCTCCTACAGAAACCTGACGCTGTGGAATGCACAGTAGGAAATGTCCGTCAACACTTTGGCAACCCCTCGATCCAAATGAGTATAAATCCAGAGATTACTGTTAATCTTCTCTGCTCAAACGTCCCCTTCTTACCACTGGGAAACACACCAACCCCGCCCCCCCTACCCTCTAAGTGAATAGAGTACCCTAATTAACCTTATAGTAATGACATGAGGTCCCTTTAGTTGTCAGATGGTTTGCCGGATACACGACCTCCTGCTGAGTGCCTGTGCAGAGAGTCTGTGCAGAACGTTTGATTCCTGAGTGTTTGTGTTGTTCTCTTGGAATGTTGGCACCTTTGCAGCAAAAGCTCCACCGAATATCACTCGCCGGATTTGCGTGGCATCCAAACCACTCTTCTTTTGGCCTGATAGAAATCTGTTGGGATAAAGAACAGGAAGCTAAGCTCAGCGCCAGCTCACACGACGTGACGAATCATTCACAACAAGCCTGTAAACATAAGTACCTGTAAGGTTTGTCTGTTTCCTCTTCAACCCTCCGTTCTCGCCTCGGTCTGGGGTTTTCTCCAGCTTGTCCAGGCTCAGCATGAATTTCTCGGGCGTCTGAGGGATGTTCTCCTTCCCGCTCTGCCGGGGCTCCACCCTTCCTCCTCTGGCAGTAACCGTCGCCTCTGCCGCCCTCTGGCCTCTTGCCTGACCCCGGCCCAGCATGCAGGGTCTGTAGAGCAACGGCACTCCGCTGCCTGGGATGCCCTCCCACTGGAAGTCGCTGCTCTCCAGAGGCTTGTCCGAGAAGAAATCAAAGCCCCAGCGCTGTGAGGCCTCCTCCAGGTCTTTATGCAGGGCGGCCTTGTACTCCGCCTGCAGCTGCTCTCGGTCCAATGGGCCGAACAGGTTCCGCCGGGCCGGACCGTTCCCCAGGGCGCTCAGGATCCGCTTGTGAGAAGCCATCGTTCTACACTGATGGAAACAAGAGAGAAGACCTCTGGTTAGACCTGCTGCCTGAGTCAGACATGGGAACCGTCATCTGGTCCTGAGCTGAATCATCCTCCACAAGACAGTTTGGCAGTTTGCTTGAAAAGACAGACGAACATGTTCTCTACACTAAAATACACCAAAATACTACAGAATGATCCATTAACTGACCAAATGTAGCAGCTCTAAGACTCAGGCACAAATGATAAAAACATGTACATAAATTAAAGATGCATCGTTTCTCTCAGGTGACCATAATCCTGTTCTTAAACAAGGAAAATAAACCCTGTTCTCCATCTACGACACCATCCATCTCAATTTATCTACTGCTGCCTCGAATATAAAAGTAAAAATCAGGCTTACCATCGTTCTAGTCAGTTTAAATCCCCTCAGTGAATGAACAGACTGGTGTCACTGGGGAGCTTTTTTATAAGGCAGAGAGCAGCCAGTGACTCATTGAGCCCTCCTCAGTAACACAGCGGTACATGCCTGGACATAATCTGAGACAGACATGTAGGGACTAGTCCTGGGCAGCGGCTGTGATCAGTGCAGACACCACAAGGTGGCGCTATCAGACCAGCTACAGCTCAACAGAGCAACTCCAGCCTCAGAGCGCAGCCGATCATTTCTTCAATGAGGCTCAGATTACTGAAGGAGATCGATTACAAATCTTCTTTCCACATCGACACCAAACTTACACACAAACTCTGTCTGATGTGAGTCAAACAGACGCTTTCCAGTGAGAGCTGAGGAAGGAACCAACTGCGTCTCAGGGGAATAATAAGTCATTATAGCCGTGCAGGAAGGGCTGGGCAGGATTCCCAGGATTTCCATTTCAGGGAACAATCAGAAGGAACCCGTCCCAGCCCACCCTAATTATGCAGCAGGAGGGGAGAGGTCATCTTATTACAGCGGTGTTACTGAGGAGGAATCTAATGAAGTGTGCTGGGAATGGTGGAGCTGATTTTATCACATGGAAGCTGCTCTGGTTTAAAACAAATCTATCAACACCAGCGTCTGCACTGCTCACCGAACACGCAAACAGCCAGGAACACGAACTACAGTCTGACTGAAGGAAAGCTGAGATCCAAGCTACACACAACCTTCAACTGATTCCTACCAATTAGTTTGATGAACTTTATGTAAATGTGGACAGAACCCTGACAAAACATATCCTGTTACATCACCTGACTTGGCCTCAGCTGCCCTGCTCAGCAGAGCAGAAGTCTGAGATCGTGTCATGTGGCACTTTTCCAAGAACTGCACTTCATTCATTCTCTGATCAGCAAAATCTTGGAAACAGAAAACATCTGAGCTTCCTGAATTACTGCAACACATCTGCATTTTCCACACATATGATTGGACTGAAAGCTTTTTTTTTTATCCTGTAAGACAAAATAAACCTGAAGACTTAATGTTATTATTCTTGTTTATGTATTAAACATGTAGATTCTTTTTTAATAAATAATTTTACGGATGTCTTTTGATGTGAGATCACCTGAGAGACACAAATGCATCTTGAATGAGTTTAACATTATTCTCATTATACATTAATAGTGTATAATAAATAGTATTATCTTGAGGTTTTTACTATAAATGTTTTTTTTAATTTATGTGTTTTATCAGGGACAGACACCACCACGACTGAATCCAAGAATCTCTGAGGTTCAGTTTATTGGATGGGATCTGGGGACCAATGGAGAAATGTGGCACACATTAATATGCCAAACATTAATAAGTGTAATCACCTGCTACACACTGGGACAGGGTGGATACTGGTCTGATACTGGTCTGTCCACCGTGGGATGGGTTCCAGTGTCTCCCCTTCCCACCCACTGTTACATAAGCACAGACCTGCAGGCCAAAGGTCAAGGTGGAGCTTCTTCAGTGAGACCAGTCTGATCAAACTGGATCCAAACATTAAATAAATGCTCATTTATTTCACTTTTTTATGTCAAAAAATGGGGGTACACAGCTCTGCAGCAACATGATCCCCACTTCCCATCCTTTCTTTTTTTTTTTCATTCCTCTGCCTCCCTCACGGGACAGGACGTCAGAGAAGGGGGGGAGTCGGTGGATTGGTTCAAGGCTGTGGCGGGAGACTGAGTCATGCATGAGCAGCGGAGGAACCGGCTGGGACCCTGCCCAGTTTACTACTCTGCTCCACGTGAGGCTGGAGCTCGTGTCTCCCAGTCAAACTGGGCTGTCACTGTGTGGATCCAGACCCTGCCACCTCCCTCATCCACACACTCTCACATGCACACAAAAATAACTCAGGAAGAAGCTGCTCCAGGAATTCTCAAGACTTTCTGTGAAGTTCTGACTGATCAGCTGACACTTGGTGCACTCTATGCTGGATATAGATTCACACTTAGACAACTTTAGTCACACATTATTCCTGTAAACATGTCATCTGTAGGAATGAAATTACAACTAAAAACTAAAGTTGTAATTTCTAACTAAAAAAACTAAAACTAAAACCATTTATAGACACAGAGGGGCATAAAGCAGCCTTGTTGGACACTAGGCTCTTTATTCAGTGGACACACAACCTGAACAGTTGTTTATAGACGTGCATACAAACAAACACAACACACAAATAACACATTAAATTGCAAAACATCTTTTAAAAAGTCTTTCCACTATAAGTTAAGTCATTTTACTTACATTTCAAGTCAAAGTCAGTCCAGTCCACCAGAAAATCCTCCTTATTTCAAGTAGTTGAGTTATAAATTAGTTTTTCTGCCTCCTTCTTGATCTTCAGTCACAACAGCTGTGTGATGTGATCCAGTCCAGCCAGCCAAGTCCAGACAAGCGACGGACTGCAATCAGCGACAAACAGCTCCTTGATAATTTCTCCAAGTATTCTCTCAGACATGGACACGGGCTAAACTTTTATGAACTCCGGTGGGCGGGGAGCCTCTGCTCCCGTGCAGGGGCGGAGTCTGCGGCCCCACACACGTGGATTTGTCCCGGTAAACACACGAGCACACGTGAAAGTTGGCCGCGTAGTATGCAGGGAAGGAAATTCCAGCTCAGGACCGCCGGGCTCGGAGCCCCTCCGCGGCGCTCAGTGCGCATGTCCGAGCGCAGGCAGCCGCGCGCTGTAGCCAGGAGACGTGATGTTTACGTGCTCACGTTCCTGAACTGAAGCCACATTTCAGCTTCCCGTTGATGTCACATAACTCAAATAAAAGGGCGGCAGAATGAACACGTGTAACTTCAGAGCAGAAAAAAAAAGTTGAATCTACAGTTAAACAGTGTTGGGAAGTAACTACATGAGCTGCTTTTACTCGAGTACTTCTGCTCATATGTAACTTTGCAATTACACTCCATCTCATTTCACAAGAAAATATGGTCCCCTGCTTTTTATTTAACCTAATGCTTCAATTATAGTCACTTCAAAGGTTATATTTAATACACTGAACATATAATTACCTCCAGGGATTAAACACCAACCACACACTGTAGTGGATCAACTGGCTCTGCTCGACCACATCCTGCAGCAACACGCTGCTCAAGTCTGCAATCATGAGGTCATTATAAACGCTGACTAATACTATATAATAATAACACTTTCAAAAGGGCCAATTGGCATCATGAATACCTCTACTTAGAGCTTTAGGTACATTTTGCAGGTGGTATTTGTGTATTTTTCCTTTTTTTTTCCTGTGCAGGACTTTTCATTTGTGTCGCTCCACTTTTACTCTGTTGTTACTTTCATTTAAAATAGGATTCAACTATCACATCTACATTTAATCACTTATAACAATACGTATAAAGCTGTGGGTGGCAAAATGTGCAACGAAGTGTTAATAAATAACTAACATGTAAATAATAATCGTCTGTATTACTGGACTTTTATTACTGATAGTTTAATGTGTAATTTGCATTTTAATGTTGCAGCTGCTTGATTATGAAGCTCTTTTTTTAATCAATGCACAGGTGACTAATGGGGGTTTAGTTTGTATTATATTGTTGAATTTAGGGTTTTTAATGTGCTTTCATTCAGTATTAGTTTGATTCTGGCTTTTCTGTTTAAAGTGCAGCTAAATTACAAACAATGCAGGCGCTGTTATGCTTCTTATGGACAAAATCATGAACGGAGAAACTCCTGAATATGAATTTTGCTGCTAATAATGATCCACAGGGTTGTACAGTACAGTATCCCAAAAAGTATTAAAGTGAGTTTATTCTCAGGAAATCTACTACACATCAGATTTGTACCTTTTCATTCCTGAATAATCTGGAATAACCTGCAGATTTCTCCACAGCCCTTTTATTGTAGTCATTGTGATCCAAAGTTTAGGGTTTCTAATAACTGTTTCACTAAACCAAGGCGCCTGTTCCAACCCCTGAGCTTCCACACTGGTCACACATTGTACTCAACAGTTTGTCCCACCCACTCTTGTTGTTGTTGAAGCCTGGCCTGTTTATTTCGGCAGCTCGTCAGCCAAGAGACTCCTCATTCTTTCCAGCCCCTTCATGCTGCCCTTCAGCCTAGTTCTCAGCGCATCAACAACAAGAGCCCCAACTGTAGGATGCGTTGGATAAAGGCCCAACTGATCTGACTCCACAGTGAGGCCTTTGTTAACGAGGTGACTGATGGGACACAAGAGAAACACAGACTTGGCACAAAGAGTGTGTCGACCGTACAGCATAGCTACGGTCGGTGGAGAAATGCCCTGAAGTTAATGAAGGTAGAACACAAATGTACAATGTGTGCATGTTGTTTGTGACGGAGCAGCAGATGTTTGCTGCAGCGGAAGCCTCTACATTTGTACAGCTGAGCAGACGCTTTATTATCTCTCAGCTCCGAGGCAGCTGCACAGAGCAGAGGGTCTGCCAGAGCAGTCGACATTGTTTTCATCATCCACCGTGAAAAGTTTGATTCCAAGTGAAGCACATTGACTTTGCATTGCAGCTTAGTTACTTATTAATCAAGGAAGTTCTGCTGTTTGCAGCTTTATTACCCGGCACTGTTTTTAATTAGGCATGTTGCACGTATTGAACTCACTTTAGCTGCACACTCTTTGCTATATATGGAGATTTTTTACACTCTGCAAACAAAGCACAAGCCGTCCTGATGAATAACTGTGTAAGCTACATAGACTCCATCTGTGTGTGAATTGATTTTAATGATCCCAGACCCTGGACTGT